GGAGTACTACACAGCTGTAAGAAAGAAAGATCTCTTATCCTTTGAGACGACATGGAGTGACCTGGAAAGTATCATCCTAAGTGAAACAAGCCAAACAGAAAGACAAGTATCATATGATCTCACTTATTTGTAGAATATAATGAACATAACAGTCTGAGGAATGGGGTAGTACCACAGACGTGGAAGTGGGGTACAGACTGACAATCCCCAGAAGAGGGGGTGGTGGGGAAGAGATAAACCACAGAACTGATATGCATGTATGCATGAACAATGGACATGGACAACAAAGCTGGGGACAGGGCAGGGAAGGAGGGGGAGGGGGGAATCAGTGGGAGGAAAAGGAGAAACATCTATAACAAAAATTAATTAATAAAAAAAATATTAGTTGGCTGAATGGATGAGTACTGTTAGCCCTGTGAGATACACAGAAATGAAAACGTATTCTTATAATGTTTTGGGAAATATAGAATAAACAAACAAAATAATTATAGAACAATTTGGACCAAAATTGTATTGTTCTGAGCAATTGAAATAGAAACACTGCATACGCACACGTGTGTGTGTGTTTATAAGTACAAAAGTATTTCAGGTACTAGTGATTTTATTGGTTCAGACCATAGAAATTAGCAATCTTTATGGAAAGGGAAGAATTTGAGTTAAAATGAAAGGATAGGAAGGTTTGAGATCTTGAATATATTTGGAAAAATCCAAGATATTACTATATACTAGATGGGACTAAAAATTTGGAGGGAAGGTAGAGTTAAATCAATTGACCAGCTGAAAAACATATACAGTGCAGTAAATAAACTAGGTATTTCAGTAAATGATTAATCTACTTGGATTATTACAAATGAAATAAGTTACCAGCCTGCAGAGCAAAGGGTATCATCCACATTACTTGAAGATTACACTTAACAGAACCACCCTGAGGAAAATTGCATGTTAAATTAGTTAGACTGGTAGAACATTGCAATACAAAACTTATCTTAAGATTGTTATTCCTTAAATCTTAAAAAAAAATCTTTTAAACAAGAATTGAACTTCAGTAACACTCAGGCCTACCCTAAACAAGGCTGTATTCAATTTTAAACATTTTTTTTATTTCTAAGTGATAATAATTAAATGATAAAACACTTTATTTTGAGCTATTTCCCTTTTATAATTCTTAATAAATTTTACTTAATTCTATCAGCCCACTAATTAACAATACATTCTTTAATATTAGATTTATGCTCTAAAATATAAATTAATTATAGAGCTGAAGCTTCACACTTACTAAATTAAAACTAAAATTGAGAATCTAAAGTTTCTGATTCATTTTGGTTTTAATCAGAAAATTATGCCATTACTTTGAAAACATATCAACAAACATATAGTTGTTTTATTTAAATTTTAATTTTTTTAATATGTTTTTATTGATCTTAGAGAGGGGGGAGAGAGAGAGAAAGAGAGAGAGAGAGAGAGAAGCATCGATAAGAGACAGAAACATCAGTTGCTGCCTCCTTCCATGCCCCCATGCTCAACCAACTAAGCCAGGGCTCAAAAATAGTTGTTTTTATTATTTTTTATATTTTTTGGTGGTATGTGCCCCTAGTGGGAACCGAACCTGGACCTCTCTGGTCCACAGGCCAACACTCAACCGCTGAGCCAAACAGCCCAGGGCTATAGTTGTTTTTAAAGGTTTCTTTGTAGTTCACAATATAATTTAGCTAAAATGAAATGTAAAATAATTAAAGGTAAATTGATGCTATAACTATAAAGTCCTCATAATACTGTCATACCAAATACATCTTTATATTATTTTTTTTATTTTAATTTTTTAAATTAATTAATTAATTAATTTTTGTTACAGAGGTTTCTCCTTTTCCCCCCACTGATTCCTCCTTCCCTCTCCCTCCTCACCCTGTCTCCAGCTTTGTTGTCCATGTCCATTGTTCATGCATACATGCATAATAAGTTCTGTGGTTTATCTCTCCCCCACCACCCCCTCTGCTGGGGATTGACAGTCTGTACCCCACTTCCATGTCTCTGGGACTACCCCATTCCTCAGATTGTTGTTCATTATATTCCACAAATAAGATCATATGATACTTGTCTTTCTGTTTGGCTTGTTTCACTTAGGATGATACTTTCCAGGTCCCTCCATTTTGTCTCAAAGGATAAAAGATCCTTCTTACAGCTGCATAGTACTCCAATGTGTATATGTACCACAGCTTTTGTATCCATTCGTTTACTGATGGGCATTTGGGCTGTTTCCAGATCTTAGCTATTGTAAATAGTGCTGCTATGAACATGGGGGTACATCTATTCTTTCTGATTGGTGTTTCAGGCTTCTTAGGGTATATTCCTAGAACTATATATAAAAACCCCAAGACTCCATCAAAAATTTACTAGACTTAATAAACGAATTTGGCAAAGCAGCAGGATACAAAATTAATGTCAAGAAATCAATGGCATTCTTATACACCAATGATGAACTCACAGAAAGAGAAACTTAAAAAATAATCCCATTTACCATTGCGGCAAAAAATTCAGATACTTAAGAATAAACTTAACCAAAGAAATAAAGGACCTATTTGCAGAAAACTACATGTCATTGAAAAAAGAAATAGAGGAAGATATTAAAAAGTGGAAGCATATACCTTGTTCATGGATTGGAAGAATTAACATCATTAAAATGTCTGTATTACCCAAAGCAATCTATAGATTCAATGAAATCCCCATCAAAATACCAACGACATACTTCATAGAACTAAAACAAATATTTCAAAAGTTCCTATGGAACCAAAAAAAGACTTTGAATAGCCAAAGCTATCTTGAAAAAGAACAATGTTGGAGGGATCACACTGCCAGATTTCAGGTTATACTACAAAGCCACTGTAATTGAAACAGCCTGGTACTGGCACAAGAAGGCATATAGACCAGTGGAACAGAATAGAGAACCCAGAAATGGACCCAAGGCAATATGCTCAATTAATATTTGACAAAGGTGGCAAGAGCATACAGTGGAGTAAAGACAGCCTCTTGAATAAATGGTTTTGGGAAAATTGGACAGCTACATGCAGAAAAATGAAACTAAATCATCAACTTACACCATACACAAGAATAAACTCAAGCCCTAGCCAGTTTGGCTCAGCGGTTAGAGCGTTGGCTTGCGGTCCAGAGAGACCCAGGTTCAGTTCCCGCTAAGGGCATGTACCTCGCCCTGGCCGGTTTGGCTCAGCGGTTAGAGCGTCCGCCTGCAGTCCAGAGAAGCCCGGGTTCGGTTCCCGCTAAGGGCATGTACCTCGGTTGCAGTTTGCCCCCGGCCCTGGCTGGTCGTGTGGGTGGCAGCCACTCGATGTGTCCCTTTCACATCAATGTTTTCCTTTCTCTCTCTTCCTCTCTCTCCCTCCCACTCTGTCTGTACAAAAAAATGGAAAAGTGTCGTCGGATGAGGATAAAAAATAAAAATAAAAATAAGAGCATGTACCTCGGTTGCAGTTTGTCCCCGGCCCTGTTTGGGTCGTGTGGATGGCGACCGCTCGATGTGTCCCTTTCGCATCGATGTTTCTCTCTCTTTCCCCCTCCCACTCTATCTGAACAAAATACCAAAAAATGTCCTCGGGTGAGGACTAAAAAAAGAATAAACTCAAAATGGATAAAAGACTTAAATGTGACTCATGAATCCATAAAAATCCTAGAAGAAAATGTAGGCATCAAAATTTCAGACATCATACGGAGCAGAATTTCCACTGATACATCACCTAAGGCAACAGAAACAAAGGAAAAGATGAACACATGGGACTTCATCAAATTCAAAAGCTTCTGCACAGCAAAAGGTACAATCAAAAGGAAAGGCAACTGACTGTATGGGAGAGAATAATTGCCAATGATATATTATTTCTTTATTTGACTAGTCTGCATTTCTGATGATTTGTCCCTATACATGGGCTTGTATTTAAACTTTAAATGATATCAAATCTAAGATTAAATAGTTGCAAGTATTGCAATTGGACTACAGCTCTCCAAAGCAATTACCAATCAGCTTCCAACATCTGAACCGTTAATAGTCATGATACATGGCCTTGTTTCTCATAGAGTATATTCAGGGAAAGAAACTGAGCAGCTTTATACCATAAAGTGGAAGAGCAAATAGACTGTGAGTTTTCATGAGGAAATTTCCAGGTGAATGTGTCTTACAGGAGGGAACAAAAGCATTGGCAAACACAAACAATACTCGTCATTAAAGATTGTGCTGGTGTCCCAAGTCTGCAGAGGACTTTCTCCACTTCCTGTCTCTGGTCTCTGAATTCTTAGCCTGGAATTACTCAGGAGCTTCAGAGCAAGTGAACTCTATTTTGAACTCTATTTTGAACTCTCATTTCAGGACATGGGCTATGTTGGGAGGTATCATGCCAGATTTGGAAATAGAAAGTGAGAATCTTAGCCATCCACAGCACGGCTGAGATAGCCAAATAAAGTTGTTACACTATGGACATCTGCCATGTGAAGAACTGTGAACTTTATATAGATTTATTTATCTAGGAAACAAAACTATAAGTCACAGAGTTCTTTTGTGTTAGGTTTAACACATCAAGGAGTGTAACAATTGCTCCACAAAGGTTGTCTTCAGTTGGCAAGGCACGATCAAGACACATTTATGCAACTCAGTATAATTGAACCAAGCAGATAATCTTTAAAATCATTCTAAATGGGGGTAATGAGTTATTTCATGTACCCTTTAAGCTATTCATCATAATAGCCAGTACACATTAGTAGCAAATTCTGGGTCCTGTAGAAGTGTTTATAATTTATTCACTAAACAGCTCTCTCATATTTTTTTCCTAAAATGTTTTACTGTCCTATGGTCTACAAATTCTTCAATTAATTTTCTTACATTTTGGTGATACTTTTATTCATAAAGTACGTGATATGAAGGTAAACTTTTAGTAGAAAGAACAAAATTATTTTTTAGCCTCTAGCTAACTGATAATTATAAACATAATATTATTTTTAAGTGTTCAGCTCCAAAGACATGGAGAAGACTTGATGGCAAAATAATTGAGATGGATACACAGTTCACTATCAGAGCCAGAGAGCTGCAAAACATCTATAAGTGCATTATGCTGAAAAATATCTCTCAAGATGAGAGACTGGATGTACTCTTAACACTTAAACATACTGTGAAGGTACGTTAATTTTCTCTTAGTTTTGGGATATCCCTTCCACTATTAATAAAAAAAATTTGAATACTAAAATAAGTAACATGCTTGTATTAAGTAATTATAAAGATGATTAATAGATGTTTATATAAATTTTATTTGTTAACAGCTATGTTGTTTTGGTATAATTTTGGGAGGATATAGTTTATGCATTAATATTTAAAAGTTCTCAAACTAGCCCTGGCCAGTTTGACTCAGCAGTTGAGTGTCGGCCTGCAGACCAGAGAGTCCTGGGTTTGGTTCTTGCTAGGGGCACATACCACCCAAAAAATAAATAAAAATAAATAAATAAATAAATAAATAAATAAATAAATAAATAAATTTAGGTAGGCTATTTGGAAGAAGTGTGAGAATATCAAATAAAATTTATAAAAAAATTAAAATAAATATAAGTTCTCAAACTATATATTATGACACATAAATATAAATATAGAACAAAAACATTCTAAATGTAAATATATATATGCAATAAAGCAAATATATTGCATGAGATTAGTACTCAACTCAGTTCAGTAAAACAGCAGTTATTATCTATTTTGACTGTCGTCAATGAAAATTTTAGTTTTAGCAGTTTTTAAGTAGCATCAGTGTAAGTATTTTTGTCTTTTTTCCTTATCAATTATTGATACTGTGTGTTTTAGTCCTGTTTTCAATGTCACAGGTCAAGTTCCCGAGAAATATGAGGATTTGTATGCAGGAAGTTGATTGGAGAGTGCTCTCAGGAGTAACACTTGGGAGGAAACTGAGAAAGCAGGATTGGTCAGATGGAGAAATTACATGCTGGTGGAGTCTCAGCAAGGACTTCAGCCAGTCTCATGGGGAACTCAGAAACAGCGAAGCCTTCTGAGTTGTCCTGAATTGAGGCAGCTGGGAGTTTTTGCTCCCACATTGACCATTTACTAGGTGTGGGTTGCCCCCAGTTGCTCCCAGGAAGGAGGTGTGACTTAGTTTTTGGTTTGTGTTCACTTTAATTTTTTTTTTTTTAACTGACTTTTTTTAGAGAAGTAGAAAGGGAGAGAGAGAAACATCGATGTGAGAGTGAAACATGGATTGGTTACCTAAAGAATGTGCCCAGCCCTGGCTCATTTGGCTCAGCGGTTAGAGTGTCGGCCTGCAGACCAGAGAGTCCTGGGTTTGGTTCCCAATAAGGGCACGTGCCTCGGCTGCAGTTTGTCCCTGGCCCCGGTTGGGGTCGTGTGGGTGGTGGCCACTCAGTGTGTCTCTCTCACGTTGATGCTTCTCTCTCACTTGCTCCCTCTCTCCCTCCTGCTCTATCTGAAGATAAATACAAAAATGTCCTCAGGTGAGGATAAAAAAAAAAAAGAATGTGCCCAACTGGGGATTGAACCTGCAACCTGGGCATGTGCCCTGACTAGAATCAAACCTGCAACCTTCTGGTGCATGGGACAGCACTCAATCAACTTAGCCACATGGGCCAGGGCTTCACTTTAATCTTATATTTGTAATTTCGGGTACTTTTCCTGAACAGTTAAAAAAATAAAATACTGTATTATCATGATTCTAGGTTGGGAACATATTGGTACATTAACTACATATCACTAAAACATAATCACAAGTCAAAACAGTCAGTATATAAGAATCTAGAGAACAAAGGGCTGAACCAACCAAAAGCTCTCAGGGAAGCACACATTTTTTGTCAGACCTGCTCCATGGTTTGAGTCCAGTGAACATCCCTCAGAACAATCTGGGTTGGGCTAGAGTGATCAGTGATTTGGGAAGGTGTTAGTTTCCTTGCTACCCAGAGGTCTAACCTTCCTCGCTGGTCTTTTCCTTCAGTGCCCAAGAAGGGAAAGGAATGGAGGGGAGGTGACACTTTATAATGTTATTTGTTGCACTCATCCTTAAATGTGACTTTGAGGCATTACTCTTTACCAGAAGGCTGTTCTCAGAAAGACACTCAGTTGAGAGTGTCAGCCATCAGTGTACCAGGAGTGGGAGATTGATTACTTCTGTCTGGACACAGCATACACTACACATGCTGCAGCTGGGACCCACTGGCTCCATGTTATACGTTTTGGGAGCAGCTCTATTGGATTTAGATAGGTCCCTTTTCCCTTGGGAAAATTATAAGAGCAAGGTTGATTGGGTGACTAAAGCTCTTATTGTGTTCAAGGCCACAGCAGATACTCTTGTACCTTTCTTCTATTACCCATTTTAGATTTCCTCACCCTCAGGTAGCACCTTACTGATCTAGGTGGCCTACCTGTTGGAGTGACTCACATCTTGAGAGGTCTAGACCACAGATCATCATGCTTTTCTCAGGCTGAGGCTACTAGACTTCCATTTATTGTCAAAATTAGGCAAGGGTATATCAAGAAATGCCCATTACCTGTACCTAAAATATCCTTCCTTTTCCTCATTGGGTAATAACAGCCATACTGCCTTTGAAAGATCAAGGTCAGTTACCTTTAGGCATGTGACACTTTTCTTGTCCCAGGTCATTTGGCCTAAGGACCCCAGGGATTAGTTGTAGCTTCAAGTTTAATAGGACTCTTTCTGTATCCACTGCTAGAAGCATTTTTCCTGCAGGCAGTAGGACTTCTAAATCTGAAGAGCACACAGTTGAAGGGACAGGAAGCAGAAATTCCCCAAATAGTAAGTGGGATCATTTCTACTTCTACCTCCTTAGTTTCCAGGATAGAGCAGTTTCAGGAGCTTCTACTTAGGCTTCCCCATCATATTAGCTCAAGAAGACAAAGGGGGGCCTGTGCCAACCACAAAATATTCCATTCCAATGATATATTTAAGGATCAGAGAAATGAACAGTGGATGGGTCTCACCCATTGTGGGCTGGACCTGGGTCAGGATTGCATTTATTTATTGTTTTGTTCCTATATCTACCTTCACTCAGGGTCCTGGGCCTTTATGCCCCCACGTTGATTAGTCATTTGATTCAGGGTGTTCCAGGGGGAAAAGCATCATCTTGAATGAGGAAGATCTTTTAAATTGATGGCAACTATTTTCAGCCAATATGGCTTTCTTCAGCTGAAGGCAATCTAGAGAAAGGCTCATCTGAGAGTGGCCAGCTGCCAACCCTATCCGCAGCTGGAAGACCAAGTACTTTGGTTCTGAAGTGGGGTAATGTGGCAGCACATCACAGCATTCACTATGATGAATATGTTTTTTATATTACTAATTAAAGGGGAAAACCCCAAGTATCTTCAGGACCACCTCTTATGTTTTATAGTTCAAATTGAAGGCAATATTGGTCATATGTTTTTGTCAATATAGGTAAATTAAATGGGAAATTCAGCTAAAAATACTTGGCTTCTGAAAAATGATTTTGAGTTCACTAAATTTATGACATTTGCCAGATGCCACACTTGGAGTGGGGAACATCTGGCCCGTAGGCCATATAAGGCCTGTGAAATCAATACCAGCTAACATCACACGCCTCATCAAATTAGTCTGACCAAATTAAGCAGGCTATTTTTTTTCTAAGTTTTATTAATTTATTTTTGTTACAGATGTTTCTCCTTTTTGCCCTGTGGACACCCTCCTCCACATCCTGCCCCCCCCCCCCCAGCATTGTTGTCTATGTCCATTGGTTATGCATACATGCATATAAGTTCTTTGGTTCATCTCTCCCATCCCCCCCACCCCCCTACTCTGAGGTTTGTCAGTCTGGACCATACTCCTTTCTATGTCTCTGGGTCTATTTCATTTATCAGCTCACCTTGTTCATGATATTCCATAAATAAGTGAGATCATGTGGTATTTGTCTTTCTCTGATTGCCTTATTTCGCTTAGCATAATACTTTCAAGGTCCCTCCATGTTGTCTCAAAGGATAAGAGATCTTTCTTTCTTATGGCTGCATAGTATTCCATTGTATATATGAACCACAGCTTTTTTATCCACTCATTTACTGATGGACACTAGGGCTGTTTCCACATCTTAGCAATTGTAAATAGTGCTGCTATGAACATCGGGGTACATATATTCTTTGTGATTGGTGTTTCAGGCTTCTTAGCATATAGTCCTAGAAGGGGGATCACTGGGTCAAATGGCAGTTCCGTATTTCATTTTTTGAGGAAACCTCATACTGTTTTCCACAGTAACTGCACCAGTCTGCATTCCCACCAGCAGTGTACTAAAGTCCCCTTTTCTCCACATCCTCACCAGCTCTTGTCATTTGTTGATTTGTTGGTGGTAGCCATTCTGGCAGGTGTGAGGTGATACCTCATAGTCATTTTAATTTTCACCTCTCTGATGATTAGTGATGTTTTTTATATGTTTCTTGGCCATTTGTATGTCCTTTTTGGAGAGATATCTATTTAAGTCCTCTGCCAATTTTTTAATTGGGTTCTTTGTCTTCTTTTTGTTGAGTTGTATGAGCACTCTATATATTTTGGAAATTAACCTCTTATCTGATGCATCATTGGCGATTATGCTCTCCCATACAGTAGGTTCCCTTTCCATTTTAATGGTTGTTTCTTTTGCTGTGCAGAAGCTTTATAGTTTGATGTAGTCTCATGTGTTCATCTTTTCCCTTGTTTCTGTTGCCTTAGGTGATGTATAAGTGAAAATTCTGCTGATTATGTCTGAAATTTTGTTGCCTACATTTTCTTGGAGGATTTTTATGGATTGATGAGTCACATTTAAGTCTTTTATCTATTTTGAGTTTATTCTTGTGCATGGTATAAGTTGAGGGTCATTTCATTTTTTTGCATGTAGCTGTCCAATTTTCCCAACACCATTTATTAAAGAGGCTGTTGTTACTCCATTGTAAGCTCTTGTCAACTTTGTCCAATATTAATTGAGCATAATGTCTTGGGTCAATTTCTGGGTTCTCTGTTCTGTTCCACTGGTGTATATGCCTGTTTTTGTGGCATTACCAGGCTGTTTCAATTACAGTAGCTTTGTAGTATAACGTGATATCAGGTATTGTGATCCCACCTACTTTGTTCATCTTTTTCAAGATTGCTGTGGCTATTCGCGGTCTTTT